TTTGACACAATTCTTGTCATAAGCGAAGATGCCAATGATGACGTGTTGTTGACACTTGATGTATATTCTTCTTGTTTATTGTCTCCCATATTTGACACAAATATTATTTTATAGCTGACGACACAAATCAAGATTATTTCCTTTCTGATGTAGAAGATCAGACTAAGCTGCAACTACAGAGCATACTCAGACAGAACCTTGACTCAGTTACCAAGATAAATCTTTTCTGATGTGGAAGATCAGACTATGCTGCAACCACAGAGCATACTTAGATAGTATCTTGGCTCTGATACCAATTGTTGCGGAAGCCAAATGTATATAGTGTGAATAAGTCACAACTACTATACCAAAAATTATGACAGCCACCAAATAATAAATAAGACAATAAAGCAACAATAAAGGGAACACCAGAATTTACGAGGTTCGGCTAATTTTGCCTACTCCTCGGACACAACCAAATATTTTATTCCACTCCAAAAATACAAGTGAAATAATACTAAAGAGAGAAGATACAAATGCCTTAAACAGATGAGAAGACAAATGAGATGTGTGTTTAAATCCTAAACATTAGGCCTTCTTTTATAGGGGGAAAATCCCCCCAAAATTCAAGAGCCCACCGATGTGGGACAAATTTGCCAAACTTCAACACCCAGGATATGCAGTCGACGGGATATTTTCAGTGATATCAGATGTCTTTAGCTTTGGAGTATTAGTACTAGAGATTGTGAATGGAAAGAAGAATAGACGATTTGTTCATCCAGACCACCACCTAAACCTTCTTGGACATGTAAGTCCTAAGTGTAACTCCTAAGTAAAAAAGACTTAGTTAATGCATTTAAGTTTAATGTGATCATGGTAAATTACAGGTAAATCTCTACTATAAGCTAATCGTTAACCTGTTAAAAATGGAGAACTAAACAACTATTACAGGTTAAACTATGTTGAGCGTGTAAACATTGTTAGTTTATATAACTTAAATCCTTTGACAGTAGAAGGATCATTATATGCAGGCATGGATACTTGATAAAGAAGGAAGGCAATTGGAGCAGAATCCAGAGGACAGGCCAAATATGTCTACTGTGATTATGATGCTGAGCAATGAAGGCATTTTGCCCCCACCTAGACATCCTGGCTTCTTCACTGAAAGGAATGTTAAAGATGTTGAATTTTCTTGGAGTACACAAACACCAAGTTCTATAAACGAAGTTACCATCACATTGTTGTATGCTTGATAAGAAGCATGTCCATTGTAGTTTCCATGTTTCTTCATTTCTCAGAATTGTATTAAAATGCTCCCCTTCTTTTCTTTATTAGGTATAGTTAGAAGAAAATTTTGTAGTAATTCTATTGTAATATGTCTACATTTTAAGTTAGGCTTTGAGTTCCATTTCCTACTCCTATTCAATTTCACAGAGAAGTTAGATTCAGCTAGCAACAGCTTACTCTTTGCATTAGTTATATAAATCTCTCTCAAATTTTCTTAATTGTGCATATATGTGTAGAAATCCCTTACCACCACATCCACAAGGTAAACCTGCAGCACTATGATCGGCATTTGTGTCACCAAATGCTTTAGCTTGGTCATGGGGGGAATCACATTTTATAAGAACTTGTCTCTGCAAGTTCATCATCTTCGTCCTTTGCAAGAAGCCTCACTTGTCTGTCAATTTCACCTGATTGCAAGACAAAGAAAATATGAAGAGATCAGAAGCAACAAATAAAAGGAAAGAAGACACCGAACAACCAAATTCGAAACTTGCAACTTAATTGTGTAGATACTGGAACTGGAAACAAACTATATCAAGGAGAAGGAAAAGAAAGTGGAACAGTGGCATAAAAAAGAAAGAAGTTCCACAGTTAGAATGAATCTAAGTATCAACTTCACGAACTAACAATATAATTGATTCGCAATAACCACCGGTTGTGGTTTCATGCGGAACCCTCAATTCATCAAACTGTGTGTGTCCATTGTATGGTAAACACATCAATCCACAAACTACCAATTACAACCCATTCATAATATATTCGTCCAAATCCAATTAATGTAGAGTTCTATGAATTTTCTTAATTTCCTTAACCCTAGTTTCCAACTCTTAATCCCATCTCAACTCATCAAAGCAATTTATCTAGTTTACCCATAGTATATAAAAGTCAATTATATAAGCCTTGAGTCTAGAGAATTGTCTTTTCAAGTGTGTCCCTACTAAACAAGGTTCAACTTCCAATTCGCTAAATCTGTATGAGTCAAAATTGAAGAGCTAAACATTTCAAAACCAAACATTGCAGAATATTATTTAAGACTCACATTATTTGCCAGTAGAGGTAGCTTGTTGTAACGTTTATTTGCTGCCCAACAAAGTTGTATTAGTAAAAATTAGACTCGCCATGTGGGTCTATTAAATGGCGATATGTGTCAGTAAAGTTGAAGAAAAGTGAAGAATAACATGTAAAGATGATATGTGAAACACCCCGGGACAAACATACTCGTACTGTGCCTGTTAGTCTCGGAACTGATCATCATAAAATAGCCCAGATCAGGTGCGGGAGAATATCTCATAATTACAAATGAGCAAGGAATCAATTAATCCCGGATTATATGGGATTTACCATCATTACACCATCAGTTACATATCAATTATTAAAATGCAATAAATGATTGTAACGGTCAGAACAAGGCAATCAACAGGCACGGGATTGACTCATCAGTTACGGAATTAACTCATCAGTTACGGAATTCCAGCATTTATACAACTGTTACAAGTCTTCCAAAAGTAATGGATGGATTGAGTAAATGCTCATAATGGATCCATAATTCAAGGAGACTAGTTACTTAAATTTATAAATAGACATACTTTTATCATCATGGGAATCTAATTTTCTTCTCTACAATTCTATACATTGTAATTTATAGCATATTGCTCTCAAGTTAGCCATAGTTCGGCCCTTCAAGCTCTGTTCAGCTCATTATCCTATCAACGATCATTCAACAAGAATTCTTTCTTCTCTGCTTTATTTTTATTATATTATCTGTCATTGAATTTATTTCTCACTTCTCTATCACGTTATATTAACGAAATTTTATATCTTTCAGATTGAATCGGTTGCTTATTGCCCGTCGTATAAAATTATTGCTTTAACCTTGAAAACTATTTTTGGGTTAAACAAAAGTATTTTAAATTTGTTCCCAAAAACTGGTGGGTTGCTCCAATATTAGTTGTTGTTGCTGCTTCTCTTTCAAGTCCCCTCGCAATTCACAAGTATCTCAAACAGCTTGGTATTTTTTGGCATAATTACTCAAATGCCCTTATTTATTACACGGTGTTACACAACTTGATTAGTGTGTGAGACCATTCTCCTACTAATCTCACATAGCTTTCTAATAAATTAGTTTTAGAATACGTGCATTGCTCGTCAACCTCTACTCAAAAAATACAAGATTTCTAAAAAATCACATAATATTATTTTAAAACTTGTATTTGAGTAATATAATAAAAGTTAACCAAAAAACTATAATAATATGAAGCTGATGATTGTTAATTTTATTTAACTAAATCAATAAAGGAAAAAATCTTTGTCAGGTAGAAGTCGTCAAAATCCTATATTTTATTTATGCCACAAATTACTTATTAATTGCAATTATGATTTATCCGACATGAAAAGCATTTGTGAAGAGTAAGAAAATCTATCAACATTTCGTATTAGAATTTCGTGATTTCATTAAAAAAAGTTGCGTATGTGCGTGTGTGTATATATACACACACTTAGTAGTCAAATTTTATGTAGTTTCAAGCTCCTAAATATTAGGAAAATAGGTAAATAACGATTTTGTTTAATATGAGTTCTATCTTAAAATGGCATAAAGGCGAATAACATTTTGTTAGAGAGTTTCGTGCTTTTAATATAATATTAGATTTAGTGTACGTGCGTTGCACGTATTTTTTGCGTCTATCAATAAATAAGTATATAAAATTTAGAGTAAAAATATTATGTGTAATAGCAATTGACGTCGAGATAGTGCAACATTCATTTAATTAGAAAATAGGTGTTATTGACAAAGTAGTTGAATGCAGAGTTATTAGATATCCTCTTAACTTGCAAATATTAAGAATTTAGGTAGGTTAATTATATAATTTTTGTATTTACATATATTTTATTGTGCAAAGATAATTATGATATGTTATATTTTATATCTAATCTAATATCTCTTTATAGACCGCGTTCTTGGTGTAAAAAAAATTATTCCAAGTATTAAGTGGTATATATATCATATAGTATGTATGATTATCCTTGGTAAAATATTTTTTAAAATTATATGCATTTTTGGATTTAGTTAAGCTTATTCGAATGTGTGAATAAAATATGATAAAATTTTCTTCTCTTATTAATTACTTAGTACTTTTATCTCCCTCTTCAAGTGTTATTTTTCCTCCTCTACGTGTGTTTATTTTTATACTTCTAATGATTTAACTTTTCAACGTCAATTCACTTTTTCTAAAATAACTTTCTTATCTCTTTTGATTGATTTATAAATGGGAAAGTAAATCTTTTTTAATTTTTCTCATTAGTACATGAATTGTTTCTCGTTAGTACATGAATTTCATGAAAAAATTAAGGTCTCTTATTATATAGATTGGATTTAGACCATCAATTTTATTGCGCGCATACGATTAGCTATGAAATTTTATTTATTTAATTTTGTATTTTATTTTTCTATTCTTCAATCTTAGTGATTACTTTTCTTACAATTCAAGTCAGTCAAACAAATTGACATTTAATGTTCTTTAATAATCCATCATATTACTCAGAAGCTTTGATCCATCAAAGAACAAAAGTTTATATTTCAAGACATGTTTAATGATGATCCATCAAAGAACAAAAGTTTATATTTCAAGACATGTTTAATGATGATCCATCAAAGAACAAAAGTTTATATTTCAAGACATGTTTAATGAATATTATTTCCTTTTCTTTTTTTTCACCTGCTAGGCTCCTTAAATTTTCAAATTTTAATGAAATTTAATGGCTTAAAATTGAAGATATCCATCAGACATGCATCGTCATATATTCAAGTCTTTTCAAGTGAATTATTTGATTATTTACTCGCAAAATGTGGTCACTGATACATAATACATATAAAAAGTGACAATCAGACCATACCCCCATGGGTGGCCAAGTTGATTGAGAAGAAAATCCTCAAATAGGAGGTTGTAGGTTCAAACCCCCTGCATGCTTCTCGGTGGAGCGATTCCCTAGTTTACAAAAAAAAATGTTCTATATCTCTAAAATAATGTTCACGCTATCAAAGATTACAAAATGTGATTTAAAATCATNTCAGTAAAGAAGTGAAAGGAACACGAAAATCAACTGTAAGCAAGAATGAGAAAATCAATAACAAGAGCACGACATGACCCTTCGTGCTTTTACTCTCGTCATCACCATAAGAATTAATATAATCGGCACGACATCACCCTTCGTACTTTTACCTCACATAGTCATGGCACGGGATTATCCTTCGTGCATTATCACTCATATCATACCACGGAATTATACATCGTGCGGCAGGGCATCACCCTTCATGCTTTTACCTCACAATATCGGCACGGCATCACCCTTCATGCATTAACACTCTCTTACAAATATCATGCACGACATCAACCTTAGTGTTTTTACACTCTTCCTTACCCAAGAAACAATCACAAGGCAATACGGGCAAGGGAATCAATAAAATTACAATAGGATCCCAGCAAGGGAACAATAGCTAACAACAATATCCTGGCAAGAGAAGCAATATCATGAGTAATAACATCCTGGCAAGGGAGATAATATCAAAAGCAATAACATCCCGGCAAGGGAGACAATATCACAACCTCTTCTCTTTTCCACAACTACTTCACAACTCAATTCTCAACTTGAGCCAACACTCTACAATGTTTAATTACCAATAATACTTTCACAAGCCTTGTTCAAAAATAGAAATCATCATATAAAGCATAAACAATACCAAACGGGGTCACATCAATCATAGTATAAGACTCACGAGCATGCTTGACACCGACGTGTAGATACTCGTCACCAAACTTATACGACGTACTAAACAATTAACACATAGCAAATAAGACACAACTTCTAATCCCTCAAGCTAAGGTTAGACCAAACACTTACCTCAATGCCACGAATACAATTCAAGCCTCAACTACTGCTTTACCCCTCGATTCCACTTTCAATTCGCTTGTATCTAGCCACAATTTACTTAATAATATTAATAAATGCTAAATGAATCAATTCTAATGCATGAAAATAGGTTTTCTAAAGATTTCCCCAAAAAGTCAAAAATCGACCCCGGACCCACATGGTCAAAACCCGAGGTTCGAACCAAAACCCGATTACTCATTCACCCCCGAA